GGTTTTGCCTCACATATTAGATGCTCTGTTGTTAGGCACACATATGTTAAGGATTTTATATTGCCTTCATTTATGCCTTATTCTGATGCTCTTCTTTTATTTATGTGGATCTGAATTCCTGACCTATGTATTTCTTTTCTCTCTGAAAAACTTCTTTTAACATTATTGCAAGGCAGGTCTACAGGTGACAAATTCCTTCAGCTTTTGTTTATCTGAGAAAATATTATCTTTATTTCTCCTTCTGTTTTCAAAGATAATATTTCTAGACACAGATTCAAGGTTGGTGGGGTTTTTTCTTTCAACACTTTAAATATTTCACTCCACTCTCTTCTTGCACAGTTTCTAATGAGAAGTTGATGTAATTCTCATCCTTGTTCCTCTAAAAGCAAGATATATTTTCTCCTCTAGCTTCTTTCAACAATTTTCTCTTTGACTTTGGTTTTCTACAGCTTGAATATGATAAGCCTATGTGTAGATATTTTGGTATTTATCTGCTTGATGTTCTCTGAGCTTCCTGCATCTTTGGTTTGGTGCCTGTCATTAATTCTGGAAAATTCCGAGCCATTATTACTTCACATATTTCTTCTGCTCCTTTCTTTCTTCTCCTTCTGGTATTCACATTACACACAGAATGTACACAGAGCATCAGAATAAGGAATAAATGAAGGCAATATAAAATCCTTAACATATGTGTGCCCAAAAACAGAGCATCTGTGAGGCAAAAACTGATAGAACTGCAAAGAGAAACAGACAAATTCACTATTATAATTGGAGACCTTGTAACTGTCCCACAGTTCTTGGATATTCTGTTTTTCATTCTTTGTTCACTTTGCTTTTCAATTTGGGAAGTTTCTATGGCAGTATCTTCAAGTTCACCAATTCTTTCCTTCACCATAACCAGTCTCCCGATATGTCCATCAAAGGCATTCTTCATTTCTGTCAGTGTTTCTATCATTTCCTTTTAAGTCTTCCTTACAGTTCCTATCTTTCTGCTTACACTGTCCATCTGTTCCTGCATGTTTTTTCCACTAGAGCCCTTAACATATTAATCATAGTTATTTTAAATTCCCTATCTGATAATTTCAAAATATGTATGATATTTAATACTGGTTCTCATGCTTGCTTTGATGTTTGCTTTCTTCAGACTGTGTTCCCTGCCTTTTAGCATGCCTTTTAATTTTTTGTTGAAAGCCAGACATAATGTATCTAGAGAAATGCATAGGAAGTGAGCTAACCAGGCTATTAGTGAGGGTTTTTATGTTAATCTGACTAGGAATTAGGCTATATTAGGCTATAGTTACATGCTGTAACTATAGGTGTCAGAGGCTTCAATTTCCTCTAGTGTCTTGCTCTTGTTCCCCTTATTGTCTGTTTCTCTAGAAACTCCTTATAAAATCGAGTCTGTGTCTTGCAGCTCTCTCAATTCTAACCCACTATTTTTATACTGAAGCCTGTTGATGTGATGGTAAGCCACTGGGGATGGGAAGCATTCCACAATTTTATGACTAAATCTACTTTTATTTGGCCTGAGTCCCTAGGCTGTCACCTTAAAAAGTATTTCTTGGCCTTTTTTTTTTGCCTTCCCTTACACGAGATAGGAAGGCTGAAAGAGGCTGGAGTTGTCTAATTGTCCATCCTCCAGGTTATATAAGGCTCTGGTAAAGTAGTTTCCCCTGAGGGCACACCTTTGTTAAGAATACTGTGGACTGTATTTCAAAATGGTTACTTTTCCCCTCCCCCTGCACCAAGCATGAGATTTTCCTCCAATCTTCACTACGAGAATCTGGTGAGGCTCCTGGAAGTAAAACCCATGCAAGTGTGGAGTTTCCTAAAAGTGGGCCCCCAGGAGTTTCTAACTCTCAAGCCAGTCCATACTCGGCCTCCAGCAATTCATCAATGACCATTTAAGTGTTCCTACCAGTTACTTCCTCCAGACGATTCTGTTCCTGGTAAGTGGAATTCAACTTTGATTTTCTGTTCACCTCTCTCTCCAGTTTTCTGGATGACTGTTTGCCCTGTGACCTCAATTATCTAATGAATTTTTTAAAGTCGTTGATATTCACTTTGTTCAGCTTTTTTCTTGTTGTAAGGACAGTTGTGATAATTCCAAGCTCTTTCCATGTCAGAGCTAAAACCAGAAGTGTTCATATTTTTTTTCTTAGTAATATAAGCACACATAAGCAAAAGCTCTTCGGTGTATTCAACATATTAAAGAGTGTAAAGGGTTCTAGGACCAAAGTGTTTGAGAACTACTGTGCTATCATATGGTTAGAGAGAGATGAGATTTCCACTATAAATCCTATGTCAATAATAAACTGCTCTTTAAGAAAGCCAAAAAAATCACATTGTAATATTGATGAGAAGGTTACAAAAATGTACTTTATTATTTCAAGTTAAAAAAAAAAAGAAATAGCATTTGCAATTCATGACAAGAGTAATTCAGCACACTAAAACTGAGGTCACCGCTGCACTACCACAACCACCCTGTCTTTGAAAGACAGTATAAGATCAAATTTACTGATTTCTCCTTTTTCTGCTCCTCTTACATTGTGATCAAGTTCTCAAACAACCTCTATTGCTATCCCTATCAATTCCATACAACAAACCTATTCTCAATACCTCACACAGGTGTAAAATAATTCCTTATCTCAATAATTGTACAGATCGTTGGGAACACAAATGTAAGCATTATTTTCTAAAGTCCCAAACCACAAGAGAATTATAGCACCTAAAAAGTCTGTAGTACAGAGGAATTACTGATTAATTCTGTAGCACAGTGGAAGTCTGTGCTCGGTTTTAAATGAAAAACAGGATTTTCCCTGCTATCCAAAAGAAAAGGCACTGTAGGTAAAGGGAAAAGCATGTGCAAAGATAGAGACAGGGAGGAAGGCAGCAGTTAGAATACAAAAGGCTTTGTACGCCATGCTAATGAGTAAAGGTGATGGTGACTCAGTCAGGAGCAGCAAACACCAGAAGAATCAGAAGACAGTGCAGAGGACGAAATGGAGGTGAGGAAAATAAAAGCTAATGACCAGTAAAGAAATTCCTAACTGTTCAGATGAAAGTTGGTGCTTGAAAACAGAAGCAGCAGAGATGGAGAAAGACAGGAAGGTTTTTCTTAAAAAAAGAAACAAGTCAACATTTGGAGACTTACTGGATATATGGGAATGAAAAAAGTGTGGCGTGGGGGGCAGCCCCAGTGCCCTAGTGGTTAAGTTCAGCATCATCCCCTTCCACAGCCTGTGTTAGGCTCCCAGGTGTGGAGCTACACCACTCATCTGTCAGCGGCCATGCTGTGCTGGCAGCTCACATACAAAAAGAAGATTGGCAGTGGATGTTAACTCAGGGTGACTCTTCCTCAGCCAAAAAAAAAAGAGAAAAAGAAAAGAGAAAAAGAAAAAAAGAGGGGACCTTAGGAGTCTTTAGTTTTCTGATGTATGGTCTTTCAGCTTTATTTAAGGAAGTCAACATCAAGTTGGTAATATTGATCTTGCTCATTAAATTGCAAGTCAGTATTTCTGAAGAATGCCTATTTTCCTTTGGACTGTCCAAATAGGTTAACAAACATCAAAGTTAACTTACGACCACAAGAGGCAGGACATATAGGACAAAAATACTGTTGTAGACAACTTAGTGTGGAGTACCAATCTTTGCAATCATTAAAACTAGGACATTTACAATTAAGGACTTTTAACTTTATGAATTCTGTATATATCAGACCTTTGGTGGGGTTTCTCTTTCAATCTTGGTAAACCCATCTAACATACACTCTGGATAAGTGATTTCTTAATTCACAATTTTTCTAGCACCACTTCATAGCTAAAAAAAAAACGCAAAAGGGCACTGTATTCTCACTAGGTACATATCGTAATATAACAACTCAAATGAAAACTTAAGCAAAAGAAAATAAGAAGTATTTTGTACCAAACATAAACCCAGAATAGGAAGTACTAAGACAAAACTAACGAGAGGCAGAATATGATTCCTATTTTTGTAAAGAGAATACCACCATAAATACATGAGTGACAGCCCAAATTTCAGGAACGTTGACGTTTCAATTTTATTTGAATCTAATTTCCAGTTTTTTCAACAGGTGAAGGTGACAGAAAGTGGCAGAGAAGCATCATCTACCTTCCTATTGCGCAGGGCATCTAGAAAGTTCTATCTGCTCCCACTTTTCCGGACCCCAAGCCTCGAGGCCCTTCAGTCCCAGCTCAGATTCTACTCCACCAGAGACCCGAGGCCCCAGTCTGCTCGCTCTTGCCAGGGCCGAGTGCCCATCGCGCGCTGCGGTCCCCCCTGGGCTCGGGTCTTTCTCCCTCTTCCGTCCAACCCTGGCGACCCGGTTCCTGCGGCCTGAGGGCACGAGGTCAGCCGTGTCCGCGGCACCACCGCACGGTCCGGTGGGCGCCAGAGGGCACGTCGCAGAGGCCCGGGCCCAGAGCCTCCTCACTCACCGCCCCCACGGCCCCAGTGCCGCTCGCTCACACCCCTCAAACCTCCGCCTGGTGAAGCCAAACCGCCAGCCTCCGCCGGACCACCCCCGGGGGGAGAACGTGCGTGCGGAGGGGCGAGGAGCAGAGAGCAAACCCCGACCGCACGGCCGGCCCGCCGCCCCGCTCCCGCCTCCGCACACTGTCCGGGAGGGTCCGGCGTCCACTGCAGAGACGGCGACGGCCGGGAGGAGGTCCTGCAGGTCACGTGGAGCGAGGACACCACACCTACCTGACGACGCACTCTCCTCATCGGACCAGCCTCCCGGGCCGCCCAGCAACCGTTGTCCACACCGCCTGCTGTGTCGACGGGGCCACTCAGAACGACCGCCCCGGCTCCCGCGCGCAGCGCACCGCACTGCGCCTGCGCATAGCTCCAGCGGCAGGACGCTGGGCTGTCAGTGCGCATGCTCCGCCCTTGAGCGCACCCCCGCCGGTTTTGAGGCCGGCCGGCACGCGCATGCTCTCGGGTAGCTGGTTCTCTCGCTCATGGAGAGGCCTCGGCTCTTGGGTTTGAAGGCAGAGGAGACGGAAGTTGCTTTGCTTCTTCACCTCCACTCGGCCCCGGCGGAAACTCCAGCGCTGGAAGAGAGGTTCCGGGGCTGGCCTGGGCCGGAGGCGGCAGAATGGAGAGCGGGCCCGAGGACGGGGAACTGAGCCGCCGCCCGACGCTGGCCTCCTCCTGGGATGCCGCCTGCGGAGCCCTGGCCCAGAGCCTCCGTCTCGCCCGGGCTGGTGTCGGCGCCGGGGACTTCGACTGGGAGGAGCTGCTGGCGCCGCCTGCCCCGGGGTGCGCCGGGCCGGGGGACTGGGCGTGCTGCTCGGTGACGGCCACGCTGCCGGGGGAGCCGTGAGGGAGGCGGGGGCCGTGAGGGGACAGGGCCCGGGCCCGGCGTCCGCCCGGGAGCGGAGCCGGTGACGGGTGTGTGCGGGGGCGAGGGCGCGTCCGCGGGCGGCGGGGCGACCTGCGAGCGCGGCG